CAGCTTCCTTTTCATTCTTCTTGCATTCCATTTTGGGAATGCACTCTGTAGCAGTTTCTACAAATTGTTTTGGCTCTGCAAAAGAAATTATACACTCCCATAACATAACCATCGCCACTGCCACATCGACAAGTGGGAATGGAGATGCGCAAGTAAAATTGAGTTCCATAAACAGAGGAAAACTGAACCATTTTACTAGTATTAAAAAAAGAGAAGCAAATTCCACAATAGGAGGGAAAAAATGGAAATGGGTATATATGGTTTAAGTGGCTGCACTCCTGTGCGCTCATTTCAACTATTTGCATGCAAAAGTAATAGCACATTAGCATAACGGCTCTGCAAGTTGGCGAAACGGCCTCAGCAATGTCAAACTCTTACGCTGCACATTTCCATATCCAGACATTACAAAATTACCATTTTGGAAAGACTCTGGAGGGGGAGAAAGGGAGAGACTTAGAGAAGAAGTGGTATGAAGCAAAGGTGGGCTGAACTCTCCCCATATTTCCCAAACATATTCCTCTTCTATGAAAATAGGGGCTGATGTCCTGCTGTTTTCTGAATTTCTTTTTTTGATACCTTACTGGACTCAGCAGATAGTGTGACCATTGGTGTTATGGGTCTCTCTACTCTATGAGGACCTGACATGTTTTGGTGGCCCCAGGCAGACTGAGAAGAGGAGGAAGAAGAATGAGCAGATCATGGTCAGGATTACCACCAGGCAGGGATGGGTGACAGAGGTCTTCCCTTTGTGAATCTAGACGTCAGAGAAGGAGCAGCCGTAGATCTGCTGGCTCGTTCACCCTCCCCTCTGGCAGAAAACTGAGCCTCGTAGGGTAGCAGAGCCTTAACCAAACAGAAGGTGGGGCAGAACAGGAGGAGCTGCAGTGGAGCTGGGGGCAGACACAAGAAACACCTTTGTAGATAGAATCAGATGCACCCACCCAGCCATAGCATGTGTGTGCCCATGCAGCAGACTCATAAGGCGAGAGTGTCCCTTGAGTGAGCTCTCTGCATCTTTTAAGAGTTTGGCAGGAAGGACCTTTCAACAGTTTAAACGTATTTGTAGCTTCCGTTCAGTTCCTCTTGCCTTTTTCGTGTACCTTGGAATTTTGGTACATTGACCTTGTCCTTGGTGCTGAATCTGTCCCTCTATTAGCCTAAATAAGGATATCTTCTTTATTTTCAAGTAAGAATGGCTGTTATTGTGTTTTGGGGAGGGATCCTGGCAACTGGGAAGCTGTGGAGAGTATCTCACATGATTTCCTGCTGACCACACTTTAACTGAATGCCTTGGAAGTGCATTGTATAAAATGATATAGCAGACAGTCAAGACAGCGTGGTTGGTGGGCGGCTGTGGCTAATGCAGGCATAGGCAAACTCGGCCCTCCAGATGTTTTGGGACTACAACTCCCATCATCCCTAGCTAACAGGACCAGTGGTCAGGAATGATGGGAGTTGTAGTCTCAAAATATCTGGAGGGCCATGTTTGCTTATGCCTGGGCTAAAGCCTTGTACGACTCTGAGTGATGTGAGACTGGGGGGGGGGGAGTTAACAACCTCATAACAATATATAACACAGGGCACAATCCACTTCCAAGAATTTTGGAGAAATTTACCCCACCCTCCCCAGTGATCTTTCAGAAAAGTTCTGTTTTGCCCCACTCAAAGAAATGATAAAAAAAGACATTTTTGCACAGTTCTGGTATGGAGATGCAGAAGTCAAATGTGCTAAGACAAGGATGCTTAACCTTTTTACCCTTGCAGGCCAGATTGTTATCTCTCTGACCCTTCGTCCACCAAGTTTGACAGGTGGGGTCACCTGATGCCACTTTGACTTCAACTGACCTTCTCTTTGCCCACAGAGGTCTTCAGAAGCCCCTTTCAAAGTGCTGCTTTGTGTGGTCATGCTTTTAAAGGCACTTCTGAAGATTTGACCATCAGCTGATTGTCAAATCTTCAGAAGCTGCTTTCAAAATGCTGGGCAAGATAGTGCTTTGAAACGGACTTCTGAAGAAGTCTTCACAAGTCCCTCTCAAAGTGTTATCTTCTGCAGTTAGGGCACCCAGATGAAATGGAAGATGGGGCTCTTCTATCTTAAATATTATACAAAAGAAGGAATTTTGTGAGTGGCAGCTTTTCTCACTCTTTCATGACAGCCCTAGCTAAATGTGCTCTTCTTCATAATTATTAAAGGTCCAGAAACAAACTCCTTTGTGTCTACGACTGGGTTCAGGTCCTCCTTTTCACAGATTTCTCTTTTTCCTCTTGTGAAGGTAGAGTGGAGAAATCCAAATACCTTGAGGGGAGGGCTCATATACTTTATTTACAATTAGACATGTATAGCCCAGCCTCTCCTGGTATCAACACTTCTTCTTCATCATCATCTCCTATGAGTCATGTGTACCAAATCATTGTGAATGCATGCAGGTGTCAGGCTGACTTGGAGCTAGGTCTCTTAGCACTTTAAAATGAGGGTTTAAAGTAAAAATAGACAAAAGAAGATTTAAAAGAAAGACTTCAATGAACTGTGAGTTAAATAGCATAGGAAACTGTCTTAGCCTAAGGCAGATTGCTGGTCCATCTAGCTCAGTAGAGTTTACACCAACTGGCTGTGGCCCCCCAGGGTTTCAAACAGGGAGCATTTTCCAGCACTACCTGTCATGCACCAGGAGTCAGCTTTGCCAGCTAAACAGCAGCCTGAAGGGGGAGAGGGCAGAGTGACTCTACCTGCAGCTGATCAACCTTCAAGGACTCAGAGAAGGTGCTGATGAGAATCATCTGACTTCAGCCTTCTTAAGGAGAACTTCCATCAGCAGTCAGATGCTGGAAACAATGCTCGTCATTCCTGGCCCAACCTTTGATCATCAGATTCCCTGCCCCCTGGATGTCTGATCATGTGATTTTTTTGTTTGCCCGACCCTAGGATTGGACCTGACTTTGGATACTGGCACTACCTCCAGGCAAGTACTCCTCAGAGACTCTTCTGGTGCGCTGGTCTCCCACTCCACTGAGCTCTGCTCGCTGTTGCTCAGCCCGAGACTATGACAATTGGAGGCAGTAGTTCTTCTGAATAATGGATTCTGGAGGCCATTGGAGGGGAGCGTACCCATGTGCTTTGGTCTTGCTTGCATGTTTCCTACAGGCATCCAGTTGTCCACTCTGAGAGCAGAATGCTGTATTTGGTGGGGCAATCACCTGTTTCAGCAGGCTATACTTGGGTTCTTATTTGTGCAGTTTCCTGGGTGACTCATACAACTGTGCCGATGTTAATATCTGTGAAGCAAATCTAGTGCCCCAGGTGAATCTACCAATGACAGGGAATATTTAAAGATGGACGTGGGCACAGAGATTTATCTCTGCAAGCACAGAATCAAACCCAAAAACTCCTTCAGAATTCAAGAAGTTGCAACTTACTGAGAGAAGGACCGGAAGAACAAAGAGCTTCCTCCTTTCAATTTCCCTGCATGGAGCATGCAAAACAATCTAGTGCTTTATTGACTATCATGGGCTGCCTTTAACAATGACAGCTTGCTTTTGAAGGGCAGCCAGAATATTTGCTGGTTCTTTTCGTCTTTCAAACAGAACACAACGTTTCCTGGCCTTAAAATAGCAGCTGCTGTACTGGCTGCCCCTTTTGTGATTGCATTTGAAGGAGCTACTCGTGCCTCTACTTCTAATTTTTCCCCCTCACCAAAAGCAAGGGCCATTTCTAGTCACATTTCCCTTTTGTATGAAAGGATTTTCTATAAAGGGAAAGGAACTTTGTAGTGCTGTGCTTTCTTGTTTCTCTGCACTTTTTGCAGTAGTCTCCATTTGCTTGCTTTCTGTCTCGCACTTTGCTTACAAAACAGCCCAGACCTCTCCCCACCCTGCCAATAAATGCACATTCAGATGGATCCCCATTTCACACACTGCAAGGCAATTATCAGCTTGTTCACACACACATGTATCTTGCTTGGCCTCATGACTTGGTCACTTAGTGCAAGCGACCATTTTGCAATGAAATGGAGGCAATCCTGAGTTTGCCACTGGAAAACAAAGACTGATGAAGGGGTTTGCTAATAAGAATTTCTAATGTAAAAATGGTAAAGGACCTCTGGACAGTTAAGTCCAGTCAAAGGCAACTATGGGATTGTGGTGCTCATCTCGCTTTCAGGCCAAGGGAGCCAGTGTTTGTCTAAAGACAACTTTCTGGGTCATGTAGCCAGCATGACTAAACCGCTTCTGGCACAACGGAACACCGTGACAGAAACCAGAGCGCACGGGAACACCATTTACCTTCCTACCAAAGTGGTACCTATTTATCTACTTGCACTGGTATGCTTTCAAACTGCTAGGTTGGCAGGAGCTGGGACAGAGCAATGGGAGCTCACCTCATCATGGGGATTCGAACTACCAACCTTCTGATTGGCAAGCCCAAGAGGCTCAGTGGTTTAGGTCACAGCACCACCCGCGTCCCCACTAAGAATGTCTAACCATCAAGGAGGCAGTGATCGAAAGGAGTGTGTGTGAGAACGCATCTCAGCCAGCTCTGTGCAAGCACATGGTTCCTGGCTGACTAGCACTGCCTGGCACAGAAGATGGCTGCCAATACCTGCAGGGATGTGTCAGCAATCCTCCTGCATACATGCATAGTTCTGACCAAGGTTTGGTCTGCCTTCCCAACCATTACAGATACAGATATAAATTCGACTCTCCTTGTGTTACTCTGCAGTGTAGTGGAAGGTGCAGTTTCCTATAGAAACACAATTTCACTGGTCGCCTCTGCCAGCTGTTCAAGGTGCTCTTTCCAAGTACCTGCATGATCTATATGATTGCAAAGACATGCTTGCTACATTTATACCTAGCTTTTTTAGGCATCTGCTGGAAGAAATCTTAGGTACACACAATGTGTGACGTCCTCAGTCTCACAGCTGAATGTCAGGAGGGTGAAGTATTGTGGAACGTATGTATTTGCTGGTGGCGTAGCATCAGGGGCACAGGGGCACAAAATGCATATGGGAGCTCTCTCTCTCTCTATATATATGTGTGTGTGTATATATATATATGTATATATATATATATATATATACACACACACACACACACAGAGAGAGAGAGAGAGAGAGAGAGATACACACACACACACACACACACACATATATATACTCTGATCTACTTAAAATGGCGACTACCAAGAAAATAGAGGTGGGGGGAACCAGCATCAAACCTCAACCACAAAGGACAGCCAGTTTTGACCATTCAGCATCAAGGGGAAGTTGGAAAGTGCTGAAGAAAATGTGACACTTCTCACCATCCTCCCTTCCATTAACTACATTTGAAGGAGACCCAGAAACTACAACTAATCCAGAATGCAGCAGCTACACTGGTGACTGGGAGTGGCCGCTGAGACCGTATAATACCGATCCTGAAAGACCTACATTGGCTCCCAGTATGTTTGCAACCACAATTCAAAGTGTTGGTGCTGACCTTTAAAGCCCTAAACAGTGCTGGCCCAGTATACCTGAAGGAGTGTCTCCAGCCCCATCGTTCAGCTCGGACACTGAGGTCCTCCTCTGCTTGGACTACTGCAATGTGTTCCACGTGGGGCTACCTTTGAAGGTGACCCAGTATACCTGAAGGAGTGTTTCCACCCCCATCGTTCAGCCCAGACAATAAGGTTCAGCACCGAGGGCCTTCTGGTGGTTCCCTCAATGCGAGAAGTGAGGTTACAGGGAACCAGGCAGAGGGCCTTCTTGGCAGTGGCACTCGCCCTGTGGAACGCCCTCCCATCAGATGTCAAGGAAATAAACAACTACCTTACCTTTAGAAGACATCTGAAGGTAGCCCTGTTTAGGGAAATTTTTAATGTTTGATGTTTTATTGTGTTTTTTATATTCTGTTGGAAGCCGCCCAAAGTGGTTGGGCAAACCCAGCCAGATGTGTGCGGTATAAATAATAAATAAATTATTATTATTATTATTATTATTATTATTATTATTATTATCATTATTAATTTACTTCTACCTGTTGCTCCAGTGTTCAAATAAAACCCCACACCCAGCCATGTTCCCCCCTGCTTGCTCTTTCAATGAGAGATTCAGAGGAGGAATGCCCAAGCTACTTGTTCTCTCCCAAAGGCACCCGCACAGCCACAGAGTGGGAGTCAAAACCTCTTGGAAGGCTCCCATCCCTTACCTGGTGACCAAGAGGAGGAGGCTCCAAGGTGCCCTTTGCTTCACAGCTGGAGCCAAAGAGGGACAGAACTGCCAGTCAGAGCTTGAACTTTTCCTAGCCCGTTCTGGTCTTTCCCCAGGGCCTCTCTGCCAGTTTGTGTCCTTGGGCGAAGCACTTGCCCAGTGGCAGGAACATGGAGAAGAGAATCGCCCACTTGTGTTTTTTAAAATATAATAAGCATATAAACCACTGAGCCTCTTGAGCTTGCCGATCGGAAGGTCGCCAGTTCAAATCCCCATGACAAGGTGAGCTCCCATTGCTCTTTCCCAGCTCCTGCCAACCTAGCAGTTCGAAAGCACACCAGTGCAAGTAGATAAATAGGTATCACTGTGGCGCAATGGGAAACGACATTTCCATGCACTCTGGCACTCATCACGGCATCCTGTTGTGCCATAATCGGTTTAGTGATGCTGGCCAGATGATCTGGAAAGCTGTCTGTGGACAAACACTGGCTCCCTCACCCTGAAAGCGAGATGAGTGCCACAACCCCATAGTAGCCTTTGACTGGACTTAACCATCCAAGGGTCCTTTACCTTTACTTCTCTATAACGACCAGATTGAAACATAGAATTGTAGAGTTGGAAGGGACTTTGAGGATCATCTAGTCCAACTCCCTACAAATCAGGAATATGCAGCTGTTCCATACAGGGATTGAACCTGCAACCTTGGCGTTATCAGCACCACGCTCTAACCAACTGAGATATCCAGGATTAACATGTCTGCAGAAGCTCCTGTTGTGGTGATACTCATGCTCCAGGTGGAGGCATAGCATGTATGTTCATTTCTTCCACATTCATGTTGCTCCTGATGCCAACCTGAAGTCATGCAAAGGTTGCACACTTATTTAATGGGAAGAGGAAACATTTAAAAGGTAACATACAAACTGCTGAAGCCATCACAAGTGCTTTATTGTATTATGATTAAACATCAGTGTATTGGCAGAAGATGGGGAACAGGGAATTGCATCACAAAAGAAGCATTTGGGTTGAATGGCTCAAGTTAGAGAATCAGAGACAAAGTAGCAAAAAATCAAGGCCAAAAGAGCATTGGAGGTGGGGGGGACCTTTCCCCAAGGTTATTCCTCTTTCATTCCTTTTTATTATGTGACCACTCTGGGAAAGTACAGCCTGAATGCACAGCAAACAAAATAAAAAGTAAAAGCCATTTGCTCTTTGTATCTCTTTGTGAATCATTTTACTTTGTAATGCTTGACAAAGAAGGAGAGAATTAAAGCTTTTGGGAAAGCCAAGAAAACTGTCCAAGATCTAAAGAGACATGCACAATTAAGGATGTTTGATGACTTCGATCTTTGTAAACTCTGAGATGCAGCTCCCACACTAAAGTGCTGGTTGGAATTTAGTGATTTTCTGGCTTTTGCTCTTTGGAAGGTTCTGACAGTTCGCTGCTCAAAAAACGGTATTTAAAAATACGTTTTAAATGTCTGTATGGCGAGGAAATACCTTTAAAAGCATGCATTTAAATACATATTTAAAATACATATTTACACATGTAATTTTCTGCAGGTTTTTTTTTTTTAAAGCAGGCCCTGAATTCTGCACCAGCTGAAGTTTTCAAACCATCCTCAGAGACAGCACCACATAATGTGTTGCAGTGATCTAACCTAGAGGTTGATGAAACACTGGTGACGGAAGTTAGAATATCCCTGTCCAGATAGGGGCACAGCTGGGCCACCAGCCCAAGCTGATGGAAGTCACTCCATGCCACTGAGGCCACCTGAGCCTCAAGCGACAGCAATGAATTCAGAAGGACCCCCAAGCTTTGTACCTGCAGCTTCAGTGGAACTATAGTCCCATCAAGAACAGGCAACCTCCCATCCATTCAGTCTAGGGAGCAGCCTACTGCTTCAGTCTTATCAGGGTTGAGCTTCAGTTTATTGGTTCTCATCCAGTCCATTACTGAGGCAAGACACCATTCCAGCCTATCAAATGCTGACCCAAAGTTTATGGGACCTTCCATAGCAGCTCTGAGGTGCTCAGAGCTACTGTTGAAGGGAATCTCGAAAAGTCTCCTTTATAAGTAGTGTAGCACAAGGAGCCATGGTACCTCGGGTTAAGAACTTAATTTGTTCTAGAGGTCCGTTCTTAACCTGAAACGGTTCATAACCTGAGGTACCACTTTAGCTAATGGGGCCTCCTGTTCTCATCCTGAAGCAAAGTTCTTAACCTGAAGTACTATTTCTGGGTTAGCGGAGTCTGTAACCTGAAGTGTCTGTAACCTGAAGCTTCTGTAACCTGAGGTACCACTGTACTTTTTGATTCCTGATCAATGGCTTTGTTGTTGTTGTTGTTGTTGATGATGATGATGATGTTCAATTTATATACCGCCCTATAAAGCCAGAGGTCTCAGGGCAGTTCAAATAAAAAGATCACAGGATATAAAATAAAAATAAAAGCAATAACCCAATAATACACCCCCTCCCCCCCAAAAAAGAGCCACATTTCAAAAGGGTATGGGATGTTGATCAGGTGAACCAAAGGCCTGGTTAAAAAAGAACATTTTTGCCTGGCACCTAAAGGTGTATAATGAAGGCTTCAGGTGAACTTCCCTGGGGAGAGCATTCCACAGACGGGGAGACACTGCAGAAAAGACCCGTTCTCGTGTTGCCACGCTCCGGACCTCTTGAGGAGGAGGCACACGAAGGAGGGCCTCAGAAGATGATCTCAGGGTCCGGGTAGGTTCATATGGAAAGAGGCGGTTCTTGAGATTTTGTGGTCTTGAGCTGTTTAAGGCTTTGTAGATCAAAACCAGCACTTTGAATTGGGCCTGGATACTAATTGGTACGTGGGTGGCGCTGTGGGTAAAACCTCAGCGCCTAGGACTTGCCGATCGCATGGTCGGCGGTTCGAATCCCCGTGGCGGGGTGCGCTCCTGTCGTTCGGTCCCAGTGCCTGCCAACCTAGCAGTTCGAAAGCACCCCCAGGTGCAAGTAGATAAATAGGGACCGCTTACCAGTGGGAAGGTAAACGGCGTTCCGTGTGCTGCGCTGGCTCGCCAGATGCAGCTTGTCACACTGGCCACGTGACCCGGAAGTGTCTGCAGACAGCGCTGGCTCCCGGCCTATAGAGTGAGATGAGCGCACAACCCTAGAGTCTATCAAGACTGGCCCGTACGGGCAGGGGTACCTTTACCTTTACCTTACTAATTGGTAGCCAGTGCAATTGGAACAGGATCGGTGTAATATGCTCAAACCATCTTGCTCTGGTGAGCAACCTGGCCGCTGAATTCTGCACCAACTGAAGTTTCCAAACCATCTTCAGAGGCAACCCTACATATATTTTTAGCTGTTATCTTTGCTTTTATGTCAGTGTCTGCAGCACAGGTACATTTGATAGCATATTTGCCTCTCTTTACACCTGTGTGAGGACTCTCGGGTATTGCACTTCCTACCATGCCTTTCCCTTCCTTTCTCTCTTATACTTCTAACAGAGTCCATTATTTTCAGACCTCTGTCCAGAAAGTATTAGAAGTTTAGATGAGAGGTCCAAATCTGATGCAAAACAGTAGACGGGCAAAGTGGAAGTTAATCTGTGTGGGATCTAATTCCTGTGAGCTGTTCAAACTGCAGGGCAAATGAAGGTCAGGGAATGAAGGTAAGCAATGAAGCTGAAAGAATTTCATTGCTGCAAATGACTTAAGCAATTTGGATTTCTTTTTCTCCCCTTCCCTTAAACGCAGCATTCGTCAGAAATATTTCTTGGGTCACATTTTGAGATAATGCTTAGCAATATTTAAGAGATGTGACAAATCAATTCTCTGAGGTTTGCAAGCCATTTTATAATGCAATAAATCCAATGTTTTCTGTTTTGCTGGTGAAAATGCTTGGATTCCTTAGATGCTAGTAAATAGGTCCCCAGTCAGAAAACCAGCAAAGTA